TGTCCTGAACGACCACGTAGAACCCTCGACTCTTGGCATGCCAACTATACCTCTAGCTCTCATGACACATAACATGGGCATTATCATTTATCTTATTACACATTCACATATTCATATCACATAGTTCTTTCACATAGCTCTTTATCATATTTTCATATGATCACATAGTCACATATACCTTTTCTCGTATTCATATAAACATATCATTTCATTCATAATCACATATCTCATGTTCATATTATCTTTTATGTTCATATCATAGATCTTCTAAAAGCTTCTTATATTATTACATAGACATATAATCTTTTAGTACATACAAAAACATATCAACATATATAATCATGCATACAAATAAATCATGTCATTCACATACTTATGATCATGACTTCATGCACTAGACTTATATGAAATGGACTTATCGCAATTCCAATTCCTATATAATCCTATATCAAAATAAGATGCACTCACCTGGCATCACTAGTCAATACCAATTTTTTATCTCTTCTTGATGGCTATTACTTGACACATTGTCCGGACATTGTTCTCGATTGATATCTACACAATCATACGTATAATATACATATCGACATTCCACTTGGCATACTCTAATTTTCATTTTTTAAACTAAAAGAAAGATATATTTCCATTTTCCCTTTGAAGTGTATCGGTACACACTATAGGGTATCGATACATCCCTTCACTAGTGTATCAGTACACTGCTTATGTATCGGTACACAAATTACATTCAAAATTTTTCATTTCAAAGAGGGTATCGATACACTGCCTATGTATTGGTACCCTTTGAATATCTTCCTGAAATTTTCTCTTTAGGTATAGGTACATGTTGAATGGGTATCGATACCCCCTTGCCCAAAAATCACTTTTAAACCTGAAAATCACTCCAAATCCACTTAAACACTTCATATTTCATGCCCTATCATATTCTTAATTCACATACACATATTTAAACCCATTAATACCCATTTATCATACATTTAACCTCAAAATCTCATCCTCCATATGGAATTCAATAATCATACCAAATTTTCTATTTGTTCTAAATTTAATTCTATCACTTCATATCTCTTAATTCAACTATTGACAAGTCAAATTTAACTTCCAATTTTACTTATCAACTCTATTCCAAATTTTCATTCAAAAACTCCAAATCTTTAATCTCTCATAACTCTTTCATTCTTTGTTTAAAAGCTATTTTAAGCATTCCTTAAGCTTTTTTATCACTCCAAGAATCAAAACCAACTTTAAAATGAGAGAATTAACCAGCTTGAAACCAATTTACCTTATCAATGGAGCCACGGGAAGAGGAGAGGAAGAAGATAACCCAAGCTCCAGAATTTTCTTTCATTTTTCCCATCTTCACGTGTTAATTTCCTATGTATGGGAAAATAAAATCTTTCCATAGAAAAGACCATTTTACCCCTTAATTCACTTAATATTTTCTAAACAATCATCCAAAAATATTACCAATTTAGTCCCTAAACTTTTCAATACTTTAAAATCAGAACTCAAAGTTTCAAAATTTCCATTTTAGTCTTTGGCCCCGATTCTAGGATATCACAATTGATGATAACAAAATACCTTACAAGTATAAGGTAGAATTCAAAACCTCAAATGCAAAAATGAAGTTAGGAGAAGTAAGACCTGAAGAATAGATGATCGCAATCCAGAGAGGAAGAATTATTTTGAAATGGGGCATGTTACCCAAACATCAAATTGTTTTGAAAAATGAGAGAACGATTTTCAAAGTTTCTCATTTAATCTTTTCTAAAAATGAAATTCTTGAAAAGTAAGAAAACGATTTCCAAAGTTTCTTACCCAGTAAACTATTTCCTAAATTTGTAAACCATTTGGGTCATCTGTCAGTCTTTCGAGCATGATGTTAAAATCCTTCGGGTCATCTGTCAGTCTTTCGAGCAAGATGATAAGTCCTTTGGGCCATCTATAAGATCTTCAGGAAGGATGTTTACACATGATTTTCACATGAAAATGAGAAACTGATTACCAAAGTTTCTCATTTAATGTTCAGAAAATCAAATTCTTGAAAAGTAAGAAAGTGATTTCCAAAGTTTCTTACCTAGTAAATTATTTCCCAATGATATTTAAATCCTTCGGGTCATCTGTTAGTCTTTCAAGTATGATGCTTAAATCTTTCGAGTCATCTGTCAGTCTTTCGAGCGAGATGATAAATCCTTCAGGTCATCCGTAAGACTTTCAGGCAGAATGTTTACACATGATTTTCACATGAAAATGAGAAAGCGATTACCAAAGTTTCTCATTTAATGTTCAGAAAATGAAATTCTTGAAAAGTAAGAAAGTGATTTCCAAAGTTTCTTACCTAGTAAATTATTTCCCAATGATGTTTAAATCCTTAGGGTCTTCTGTCAGTTTTTCGAGCATGATGCTTAAATCTTTCGAGTCATCTGTCAGTCTTTTAAGCAAGATGATAATTCCTTCAGGTCATCCGTAAAACCTTTAGGTAGAATGTTTACACATGATTTTCACATGAAAATGAGAAAGCGGTTACCAAAGTTTCTCATATAATGTTCAAAAAATGAAATTCTTGAAAAGTAAGAAAGCGATTTCCAAAGTTTCTTACCTAGTAAATTATTTCCCAATAATGTGTAAATCCTTCGGGTCATCTGTCAGTCTTTCGAGCATGATGTTCAAATCTTTTGGGTCATCTGTCAGTCTTTTGAGCAAGATGTTATGTCCGTTGGGCCATCCGTAAGACCTTTTGGAAGGATGATTTTACTCTTTATTGACTTCCTAGTAAAGATAAGTCAATTGGACAAAAACTTAATGTATTTTTCATCTTTGCCCTATTCTTTTTAACACAAGAATGAGTAAAGAGGGGCAGTTGTAGTCACTAGTTTTTATCGTATTTATTATTATTATTATTATTATTAAATAATTATATTATTGTTACAAGCCCAATATAATAAACTGGGGCCCAATTGAAGACAAATCTGGAGCCCCACAAAGCAAATATGGAGACCCATTTACAAGAACCCGAAGGTCTAGACTCGAGAAGACAAACTGGAGGTCTATACCCGATAAGTCCAACCCGATCCAAGCCCATATTACATACGACCCAGCAGGCCCGAATTCTTCAAGGGTTTTTGACATACATCTCCAGCCGTCTCCTCATCACCACCAGTTGATTAAGATAGAGATGAACGACCCAGATTCGCCAGTAGAAACCCTATGGTTTTATTACAACCCTAGGGTTATTCCAACCGTCACCTTAGGTTGATGATGAGCTCACCGTCGCCGACTCCAAGTGCTCCAATCAGCAGTTTCCACGCCACCACTTTCTCACCAGACGAATCCAGAAGATCTGGGTGCATTTAATGCACCCAACAAGATAACCACACACATCATTGTCCTAGAGTGAGTCACTACCATTGTTTCGGTGACTCACCGAAGGGTTTATCTTTATGAAAGACACTCCAAGGGCTATATAAACCCTTACCTGTAAGAGAAGAAAGGGGGCCAATGACGAAGAAAGGAACGACAGTGAAACAAACACGAACAGAGAGCAAGGCCAAGAGAGATACGACGAACAACAAACACGACCATAAAACAACACGAAGACAATCAACAAACCAATAGAAAAATAAAGAGAAGAGACCGAGAAGCTTACCCAAAGTCGTCGGAGCCTCCACGTGTCACCAAAAACCGCTGTCTGTTCAAAGGTATATTCCTAGATATGGGGAGTTTGGGGGACTTTTAGAACAAAATGAAGGCGGATCTAGGTTCAGAGGAAAAAGGGCTTTGATTCGGGGTAATTTTCTGAATTCCGGGCACATGGGTGGTTGTCAGTACTGGAGCACGGCGTTTGACAATGGTCGACTATCCCTTCGGTAGAGGGTTCTAGAGAGAGGCGAGAGAGAATAAAGAGGTATTTTTTGGGGGTATTTATATCCCTCCCAAACTATGTCGTTTTGGGGAAGGGATATATGTGTATTTTGGGAATGGGTAAACACCATCTGTGGTCTTTGTACTTTGTAAGCCTTACAATTTGGTCATTGGAAATCAATTTCTGTACATTTCAATTTGGTTTTCAAATTTTATTTTAGTTTTATTTTAATCACTAACTAGTATGTATATATTTTAGGTAAAATATTCAATTTAGTCCTTTTAATTTTAATAGTAATCGTTTTAACCCCAAATAGTAATAAAGCTTAAATTACATTTGTAATACATAGATTTTGTGATATTTTTATTTATGGCTATAAGTTTTATTATTTTACAATTTTGTCCTCTAATTTAATATTTTTAATTTTTAATAGTATTATTGGTTTATTTCCAATTATAGTATCTAATATATTAATTATTTACATATGTAACTTTAACCTTTTGTAGTTTTATAATTTGATTATTAAATTTAACATATTTATTATTTTAATCATTTATTTATATATATTTATCAATTTTTGTTAATTATAATGTTTTTAATGTTATTTTATTCGAGTAATTTATAAAATATCTCCTTAACTTGCTAGGAGTGTACTTTTAAGGATATTCGTATAAAATAATATCTTATTTTCCTTTTTATCATAATTTAAATATTACTTGAATTTGTCAATTTTAATAATTAAAGATGATGTACAATCATAAGTACCAATTTTGGGCGTTGTGGGTTTGTTAATCCTTCGCCACATGTAACCGACTGCCGAAACCTTTTCAAAGTGAATCTCCGGTCAATCACAGATCAATTTTTTTATCTATTAAAATTATTTTTTCATAAAATTATTTTAAAAGATATTTTTAAGTATTCGACTTACCTAACCCAAAAGTCGATGGAAACTCCAAATTTGTCTATTTTAAAATCCAACATGTACCCAATATTAAGTCGGATCGATTCCCAGAAAAAGCCCTAAAAAGCCCGACGGGGACCATTTTGGACAATAACAACGGTGGTGACGACTATAACTATAACAACAGTTATGAAGGCGACAACGACAACCATGACAACGATGGAGAAAAAAATGACGGCAACAACGATGACGACGACATACAGAAAGATTTTCAATACAAAAATGTTTTTACGATATAAAACACTCATGTCGATAAAATGATTTGAACCCCTTTTTCCAATGTTAAATCGATGACTTATGTATAGGGATAAGAATTCTTTGAATTTGAAGAAAAAAAAAAGAAACAACTTTGCTGACAAATTACTACAACAACGACGATGATGACAGGGGTGACGATGGTGACTACAACAACGACGAAGATGGTAACAGTCACGATGGTGATAACGGTAACGACGAAGATGACAGTAACACCGACGACGAAGATGACAGTAACACCGACGACGAAGATGACAGTAACGCCAATGATGAAGACGGGTGTAATGACGACGATGAAAATGATGACAACATCGATGGCAATAACGACGACTGTAATAACAGCAATGACGGAGATGAAAGCGATGATAACAATGGAGATGATGGCAAACACGACAATGGTGATTGTAACAACAAAGACGACAGCAACAAAGAAGACAAAAATGACGGTGGCGACGACAGCGATAATAGCAACGTGTGCGACGATAACGTTGGCGACAATGACGGTGATGGTGACAACGATGGCTACAATAACAACAACAAAGATTTCTAAAACAACAACAACGACGATGACGACTGTGGCAAAGACGATGATAACGACAACGACAGTGATAACAATGACGATTACGATGACTGAGATGGTAATGACAGAAACGACAGAGACGGTGACGACAACAACGATGATTACAATAGTGATAGCAATGATTACAACAATGATGACAATGACGACGATGATGAAAGTGACAATGGTGATGACTACGACAGTGACGACGACAACGACAGTAAATAAAGAGAAACATGGCAGTAGAAAAAAAAACAAGAAAGTTGTAATGGTAGTTTTTGGGCATAATTAGCCCAATAATCTAGGCGGGCTAATTAATTAGCCCATTAGGGTCAACAGGTTTTTATTTTGCAATCTACGATAAATTCTACAGTAACTTCAGAACTTGTCACACCGACGTGATGAGTTCCTGAAGAAATAATTATTTTATGGTTCTAGGTAGTGGGCCTCGCGAGCCTGATTATTTTAATATATTCAGGGGATGACGAGTCCCATTATTTTTTTTTTTGAGTTTATGAAAATTGAATCAAACGAAATCAAATGTATTTATTTGAGTTTATGTTCAAATTTAAATATATTTATTTATAATGCTATGATACTTGTCGAAACTGTCTTTCGGGTGGGCCCGAAATTGGGCTTCGACTAAGGAAAAATGGGTTAGGAGTCGCCACCGATCATTTATTTTAAACAAATGGGCTGATCGGATACCTTATTTCTTACCTGATCTGCGTCTTACCAGTGATATGTCGGATTCGGGAGTCGGTTACGGTCAAGGAAGGGTTAGCACCCTTGAACTGCTCTTTCGGTACTATGTAATTTCCAGTTGTCATTAAGTAAGGAAATTGTAAGTTTAACTTAAAAGGTAAAATGACGATCGAAATTACTTACCTTAGATCAATTTGAAATCATCTTTAAAAAATCGAGAAACGTATTAGATGGAATAAATGATCATAGTAAAAAATAAAAAAATAAATAAAAAAAAATGAAAGCAAGAGAAAAAATGAAATAAATCAAATATAGGCAAGTATAATAATAGTAAAGAAAAAAATAATTATATGAAAGTAAAGAAAAAAATAATTATATGAAAGTAAAAAAATATAATGTATATATAAAGGTAAAAACAAAATAAAACAAAATAATAAAATATAATAGTAAAGAATCAAAAATGAATAGAAATATATATATACGATTATAAGATATAGTACTAGAAATAAGAAGTAATCATGAGCATAATTAGAAATATATATATATATATATATATATATATATATTAATAATGCTGTACCAATAAAATATAAAAGAATACGCGTATATCACATAAATAATACAAAGTAATATAAGGATTTAAACGTAATAATTATATATATATGGGGTCTAAATTAGAAATAGAATGAAATTTAAGGCCAAGTTTAATAGGAATTCAAAGTACAATTGGAACTTAAGAGGGCAAACCAGAACTTTATAAAACCAGAGGCATCAAATGCACGGTTTACCCGTTTTAAAAAACACGCGGGTCGCTTTTATGTATGGGTCGGGTCGGCAAGCATCCGCGGGTCTAGTATATATGTTAAACAAATTTTAAAAACTTTCATTCTTTTCTTCTCACCAAAACGAGAGCCCCCCTTCTTTGATTTCTCTCAAGTGTTCTTCAAAAATAAGAACACGGTCGGGTTCTCGCATGAACCCAGATTAGCGCCACCTTAGCGCCACCTCGCCGCCGCCGCGTCCGTCGTTCATCGGTGGCAAAAAATTTTATTTTTTTATTTTCTTCAAAACTCCCTTGAGCTCTCTTCACCCTCTTTTTAAAAAATCAAAACTTTGTTTGAGAAACAAACGCCTCGGGGCTAGATCTAAAACAATAGATCTCAAAAACGCCCCGCTCATTGGACAAAAGCTTTTCTCTTTGTTTTCTTTCGAACACAAACGCAATAAAAGGAGATCAAACAGGCATGCAAGGGACCACACGAACGAAAAGGTAAGCAAAAATATACCTTTCTTTTATTTTTCACTTCGAAAAAAAGCTTCCAATGCTATTACAAATGCTTCTGAGTTTTGTGTGACTATCGTAATCTCTCTGTGTGTCTTGCGTGTATTTGTGTGTGATTTTTGCCTCTCGTAATCTCTCTCAACTGTGTACAATGAGTTGAACTACAAACATTTTTATAGCCTAATAAAATTCTAACTTGGTTGTTTGTTGGTTATGCATGCGCGATATTTGTGTGTTGTTGGCGGTTGCCGAGATTCTCGGCTGCGTGTGGCGTGAGGAGACGTGAGGAGAGAGGCATGCTACGTGAGGGCTTGCGGCGCTGGGATGTTGCTGAAGCAATTAGGGTTGATGTGGACTGTTGGATCACACCTTGATCCAATGGTCAAGATACTTGGCGGCTAGATGAGAGGTTGAGAGATTAGGGTTTACACAAACCCTAATCTATACTGGTTTGGGCAGCTGGGTCACGTGGGATTTGGGCCATTACTATTGGGTTTGTAAAAGAAATTCAAAAAATGTAAATAAACCATATATATATTATAATTTATAACATTATATGATATTATATATATATGTACGTATTATGATGGATGAATTTAAGTGTCTTCAGCTGCCCCTCTTTGCTCATTATCGTGTCACGAAAATAGAGCAAAGATTAAAAGACACAAATTATGTCCTTATCGAATGCCCTCCGTCATAGAGTTGAAATTCGACATTGAGGCTGATTTGTTGATTTGGGTTGAATCCCAAAATAACTCCCTCGTCGTGAGGTTGAGTCAATCTGGAAAATTCTGAGCGCGATATCATTCGTCGTGAAGTTAAAACCGAGGTCAAAGCTTTGACCAGCAGCTTTTGGATCATCTTCTAGATACTTCGTCGTGAAAGTGAAACTCGTCTTGAAGACTTTGGTATGGCTATGTTACAGATGAATCCTTCATCATGAAGTTAGGTCAATCTATTTGTGAAGTTAAAATTGTATATGGCCCATTCGTCTTGAAGTTGACCCTGGGAATTGGATATCCTTCGTCATGAAGTTGAAATCCAATGTAAGCTACGTTGTTTCGAGGCCAACATCATCCGTCGTGAAGTTGAAATTGACTCTGAAACTGGAAAGTTTATTGAGAGACACTCCTTCTTTGAGTTGAATATCCTTCATCGTGAAGTTGAAATCCAATCTAGAGATGGATGCTACTTGTGTGCACGATTCCCTTCGTCGTGAAGTTAAAACCGCGGGTGGCGCCTTCGTCATGAAGTTGAGCCTGAGAATTGGATATCCTTCGTTGTGAAGTTGAAATCCAAGTATTGTTTTGAATCCATTATCCTCCGTCGTGAAGTTGATATTAGTTATAGAACTGGGAAATTATTTGTTGACAGTCAGCCGTCCCTTGGCTGTGAAGTTGAGCTTGTGTTGTCTCGAGTTTAATATCCTTCGTCGTGAAGTTGAATTTGATTATGAATGAAATTTTGTTGAAAATCAGCCACCCCTTCGTCGTGAAGTTGAGCTTCTGTTATCTTGGGTCCAATATCCTTCGTTGTGAAGTTGAAATTGGCTCTGAAATTGTGAAGACCTTTCGTCGTGAAGTTGAACCCCGAATGGCACGATATCCTCTGTCGTGGAGTTGAAATCATGGACGTGTGGGTACGATATCCTCCGTCGTGGAGTTGAAATCGCGGGTGGCCCCTTCGTCGTGAAGTTGAACCTTGACTTGAATATCCTTCGTCGTGAAGTTAAAATCCAAGTATTGTATGTTGCGGGTGGACACGATTCCCTTTGCCGTGAAGTTGAAACCGTGGATAACCCTTTTATTATGAAGTTTGGCTTCGAGTTAGATATCCTCCGCCGTGAAGTTAAAATCTACTCTCGGGCAAATTGTGTCGCTTCGAGTTCAATATCCTCCGCTGTGAAGTTGAAATTGACTCTAGCTAAAACCTGAAAATGTTACGCATATATGTGATGCTATGAATGCAATGCTCTTAGGTGTGCCTAAAATGCATATGCAACATATGTTATCTTGGGGCTCTGAAGAGAAATCTCAATCTCCGGTTGCCTGTCTGGAATCTTGAAATTCCGATCTCTGGTATTGAATTTTTCAAATTCTGAAATCTGATGTGCATATTGTGTTCCTTTGATGCTTGATCCAGGAAATACTTCTCGACCATCTCAAATATATGCATGAGCCTTGATCGGCTTCTGGGTACCTGTACTTTTCAATGAATCTTTGTACAGTAATATGCGATTATCTTTTGCATAAGTAGATAAATCATTGAGTTTAAGTTCAATTCAAGATGCTCGAAAGGATTTAGAGAAAAAGATTGTCTTTATTCATAAGGGAGAAAAAAAGAACAAATAATACATGACAAACATTCTGGAAAATGAATACTTGATGAGGTGTAAACGAATGTCTTAGATCTCGATAATGTGGGCACTTCTGAGCTGACAAGCCGTTTGGTGACCTTGAATGCAGCCTTTGCCAAAGGATCTTTGAAAATGCGAAAACATTCAGGAGAGTGCAACATTTCTTCGATTTGTTGAGTTTGTAGAAGATTCATATGTTGGGATGCTTCCACTGTCTGGATTTCTTGAACTGATATCTAAAATCTCCCTTTCGGGTTTTCAATTTGGACCCATCCTTGGTCACGAGACACCCTTTGCGGGTTTTCATCTCGAACCCACCTTATTTTTCTTTTTCTTTTTTCTTATGTTCTTTTCCTCTTTTTTCAATTTAGGGCACCCTTTCGGGTTTTTGTCCTAAAAGTCTTTTTTTTCGTTTTTCTTTTTCTCTTTTTTTTCAACTTAGGACGCCCTCTCGGGTTTTCATCCTAAGCGAAGTACTTTTTGACTGCACCCGAGTTGATGGGATGTGGATTTCAGATCCATCCATTTCAGCAAGGACAAGAGCTCCTCCGGAGAAGGCATTTTTCACGATGTAAGGTCCTTCCCAATTTGGTGTCCATTTTCCTCGGAAATCTTTCTGGACTGAACAAATTCCTTTTAGCACCAGATATCATTCGTGGAATATTCTTGGGTACACCTTTTTGTCATGTGCTTGGCTCATTCGTTTCTGATAGATTTGACCATGACGAATGGCTTTCATTCTCTTTTCATCTATCAGGTTAAGCTGATCATATATGGATTGTATCCACTCTGCATCATCCAGTTTAACTTCTGTCAAGACCTGGAGTGATGGAATTTCTACTTCAATGGGTAGCACTGCTTCCATTCCATAAGCTAGTGAAAATA